TGAAAGAAAAGAAAAGAAAATTGTGGCTCTGAAGGAGTCTGGTCCAAACTAGCTTGGTTCTCTTTGGTTACATAGTCAGGATCTGTATAAAGCTCCCTAAAATACTCTTCCCAGGCATGAATCGGCATCTGATTTGTTGAGGGTAGGAGAGATTTTCCCAATCCCCTGGTGATGTACCAAAAAGGGATGTATTTTTTGTCCTGACTGCCGTAATTAGTCTATGCCAAGACTCCTTCAGAGCCACACTTTTCTTTTCTTTTAGAAGGTTCTTATATTGTGCTTTCAGCTGCTTTAAGTAAACTCAGTTGAATTTTCTCAAGGTAAACTCTCCATACTCTGAATTATCTGGTTGTTGGTCACCTTTTAGATACTATTAAATGCTGTTTTGCCACATCTTTTTGCCGGTCCCATTCTAATCTCTCCAGATTGTTGGGGATGGGGGGGGGATTAGCTTTACTTACATCGTGGAGCAGCTGGGTATACAGACAAGGCCCCTAGCCAATCACATTCAGTTTGAGCAAGTGGACAGGATGCTGATCGGAAGGGCCCCGGCCAAGCTAATAGCCGAGTTGGTGAAGTTGCAGATAGGGCACCAATATGATTTATCATAGCGCCAAAAATGAATGAATCGATTATTTTAGGACTTGCATGATTGGGCAAATGGGCACCTACTACAAAGTAGGAGGATGGTATTCAAAAATTGACCCTAGGCCTTGGGCCACTGCCCCCTGTGAAGCCAGAAGGCCTTAAACCAGACCATCCAGAGCCTGTAGCCCCTGCAGCAGAGACATCCCAGGCATCCAGCAAATACCAAAATAATACTGGGATCTGGAAGGGGTATTCAATGAGGAAAATTGCAATTATCTCCCCCTAACTGTCCCACCGATTGCGCAATAGAATTTGTGCCTGGGGCAAAACTACCAAAGCCAAAAATGTATTCAATGGCTCCTAAAGAGATGGCGGAACTAAGGAAATACATGCTAATTTGAAGCGGGGCTTTATCCTGCCAGCCAATTCAGAAGTAGCAGCTAGGTATGTAGGGCAGCTACATACCTAGCTGCTGGGTGGGTGGGTGGTGGTTAGGCTCTGTGTTGACTTCCGGGGGATCAACGGCATTTGTGTAAAAAATATTTAAATATGTAAAAATATGTATGTACCCCCTCTTGTGAAGGACATGTTGAACCACTTGGCTAAAGGCAAAGTGTTCACCAAATGAACTTGAGAGAGATGTATTACTGCATACAAATCAGGGAGGGGGGTGAATGGAAGACAGCCTTTAACTGCCCTCAGTTCAAAGTCATGCCATTTGGGCTACAAGGGGCCTCTGCGGTCTTCAGGCAGTTCATTAACAAGGTGCTGCATAAGTACCTGTACAAAGGGGTGCTTGTTTACCTTGATGACATTCTCATCTATTCTGAGACCCTAGAAGAGCACGTAAAGCTGGTGTGACAAGTTCTGGAAAAACTTCTAGCTGCCAAACTCTATGCTAAACTATCAAAGTGTGAATTCCACAGGACTTCACTTGATTATCTTGACTATCGTATTTCCAGCGAGGGGATAGAGATGAACCCAGGGAAAGTGAAAGCAGTGCTAGACCGGCAACCCCCACGCACCCGCAAACAGCTACAAAGTTTCCTGGGATTTGATAGCTTCTATCGGCAATTCATCCTGGCTTTTGCAGAAGTCGCTCTGCCCTTGACTAAACTGTTAAAAACAGGGCCATCCCTGACAAATCCAAATCCAAACCAACCTATTGGGTGGACAATAGACTGTCAAAAAGCATTTGAAAAATTAAAATGGCTCTTTGCCAAAGTGCCCATTCTGCAACATGCCAACCCAGAACAGTAATTCATAATCTAGTCAGATGCCAGTGATGTGGCTGTAGTGGCAGTGCTGTTGCAGAAGAACAAAGAGGGACAACATGTGCTTATGTCTCCAAAAAACTCACCGCTACAGAAGGAAGGTGGGCCATTTGGGACAAAGAAGCCTATGTGGTCTGGTGGGCACTACTCACCTGGAGAAGTTTCCTGGGGAGGGGGGAACATTCCATTTGAGGTCTGGACTGACTATAAAAACCTCAAAGCCCTAAAAATAACCCTGGAAATTGTCCCCAAAGCAAGTTCACTGGGCACAATACTTTAGATAGTTTAAATTCAAAGTGAAGTACATCCCTGCTAGGAAGAACTTGCTGGCAGATGCCTTATTGACGAAACTGCAGTATGACAATCTGAGGCAAGAAGTGATTCACCCCATCATACCCCCTAATCAAAAGGCGGCTCAAGTCACCACCAGAGGCCAAACCAGGCAGCAGCCTACTCTCAGCCTGGACAAGCTGACCACAGCAATGAAATCAGCACTGCGAACCGACCCCTGGCTCAATGAAAACAAAGAAATCCTAACGATGAGAGATTGGTTAGCCTGGAAAGGATCCAAACTGTACATTCCTGCAAACGTGAGACTGGAAATACTACAGTGAAGCCACAACGCAAAATTGGGAGGTCACTGTGGATTCATAAAAATGCTCCACCTTGCCAGAAGTCAATTTTGGTGGCCTAAAATGAAAGCAGAAGTGGAAGACTACATGAGAAGCTGTGCCACTTGAACAACCATGAAAATACGGCCAGGCAAGCCCCCTGGATTACTGCAACAGGTGGCCAGCCCTAGCTGACAATGGGAAGAGATCACAATGGATTTCATTGTAGAGCTCCCAGACAGCAGAAGAAATAAAGTGATTTGGACAGTCATTGACTTATTTTCCAAGCAAGCTCATTCTATTGCTTGCTCGGGATTACCATCCACAAAGAAACTAGCAAAGATGTTTATCAAACACATATAATGCCTACATGGAGTACCCAAGGGAATCATCTCAGACCATGGAGTTCAATTCACTGCCAAGTTCTGGAGTGAGTTCCTGAAGTCCATTGGTCCCCACAAGGACTTAGCTTGGCTTTCCATTCGAGCACGAATGGAGCAGCAGAACACACGAACGCAATGGTGGAACAATACATCCATTGTTATGTGGATTACCAGCAGGACAACTGGTCGGACTTGCTACCTTTCACTGAAGTTGCGTATAACAATGCTGTCCACAGCAGCACTGGATTAACTCCTTTTCAAGTTACCAGTGGCATGGAATTTGTTCCCATGCCTGAACTGCCCAGAGAGCCCCCCCCCTCCATTTCTCTTAATGAATGGATGGACGCTCCTAAAAAGGGGTGCGAGAATATGAAAAAAGCTCTGGCAGAGGCAGCAGAAGAATACAAAAACAAGCTGATAAGCACCACTTGCTCCAACCCCCCCCTTCCGTGTGAAGGATAAAGATTTCTTGTCTACTAAATACATAAGGTGAAGGATACCTAGCAAAAAATTAGGACTGAAATTTTTAGGTCCCTTCGCAATAGTGAAAATAATTAACCCAATTACAGTTCAGCTCAGTCTGCCCAGAATTCTAGGAAAAATTCACCCAGTCTTTCATTGTAGCTTTCTGAAAACTGTGATTGGGTCCAACTAAGACCATTGACCCAGCTTCCCCCTCCTCCAATAGTGATACAAGGAGAAACTCACTATGAAGTGAAGAAAATTTTAGACTCTAGATTGTATAGAGGTCATTTGCAATATTTAGTGCATTGGAGGGGGTACCCTTTGTCTGAAGCTACATGGGTGAAAAGTTGGAATGTAAAAGCTGATAAGTTAGTGAAACAATTCCATGATAAATTTCCCAATAAGCCAAAGGGGGAGGAGGTGGTTAGTTATGCTCATATTAACCCCCACATTATTCTCTTTTCAGGATACACTTTTCTTCTGAGGAGAGGCTGCCTGTCAGGCCAGCAGTCATCTTTTCTTTTGGATCTTTGGCCTGCCGCACTTCTTATTATTCTGCTATGCATTTTCTATTTCTGGGGAAATGGGAGGGGGGGATTGTAAGGAGTTATATACTATGTAGCCATAACAAAATTCTTTTTAGAAAGCCAAGGTCATCCTTTGTCTCTGCACCTCTGCACCTGACAAGAATTGGATGGGTGGAATTGCCAGCATGGCAGTGAGAAATTGGACCATGTGATCTTGAACTTTCAATTAGGTGGGAAAAAACAGAAAGCTTTCAGATTCAGGTTTTCCCAGATGTGACAACATGGCTCTCTTAATAAATTGGAACTTTGAGCAATACTTTGCCTTGGACTCTGATTTACTTTCGGATGCTATTTGGAATTCTGAATATATCCTTCACATATATTCCCAATTAGGTTTTCTCTATATATTTTTTTGGTTGTGTCTTGAGTTACTTTTCTTTTCATTTCTATATATTCTCAATATAGCCAATATATCACTCCAACAGTGAGATGAGTGGTATATAAATTTAATAATAGAAAATAAATAAATAAATAAATAAATAAAAATCATTTACTTTTTATTTACTCATTATACAGAGAAATAAAAATATATTTAACATTTATTCAAATTACACAGTGATTATTTTTTAAATCAAAAAGTAACTTAAAATAAATTATAAAATATTCAAATTTAATATAAATTTTAAAAATGCTTCACTATTCATTTCAGCAATAAACACTCAATAAAAACTACATTTATTCATAAAGGAATAAATCTGAAAGCAAAAATATTCTGATTTTTTATTGTTGTGTTCTTGGAAATACTTTTGCAATGCTTATGAGTATTTCAAAACTCAAATATATACAGTGTTTCTCCCTCCCCAATTTCCCCAAAACATACCTTAGTTTCCAGTTGTCTAAATTGTTGGGCCATTCTGTGGAAAGAAATATAGAATTGAGGAATGTAGTTTTGATTTTAATTCTGACCCCAAAATGATTTCTAAAAATAAGCATAACTGGAAATAATAAAGATCTTTCTATTTAGCAGATTCATCTAATTACAGTAGGTAGTTTCTCTAAATGAAATACAATGGAAAACAGAATCCAGTACAATTTCAGGGACTAAATACCGTATTTTCCCAAAAATACCACCTACCTTGAAAGTAAGTTCTAGCTTGATTTTTACACATGTGCCCAATATAAGCTCTAGCCTCTCAAATAAGTCCTAATTAAGATCCCACCCACTCTGGGTGAGGGGGCATGGGTAAAAATTAAGCTAGGATGGGGATGGGGGGGGGTAGTGGAGCTGCCCTACATACCTTGCACACCTTGACACCTGCCTTGCCTTGCTGGCCCACTTCATTTGCGGCTGCTTACGCCACTTGCATGTGTCACCCCCAGCCTTTGTTTCACTGTCAGAAGCCTTCAGGAAAGACCTCTGCTCTGAATTGATGCACATGGTGCCCCCCAACCTCGTTTTGCCATTAGAGACCTTCCGGAAAGGCCGCTGATCTGGAGCTCTTTTATCGGCTGCAGAGGCTTCTGGACAGGTCAAAGAAGCCATCTTTGTCAAAATTGAACAACTTGCTCTAAACAGATGGGGAGGGACATGACATCATCTATCTCCAGCCTACAACACAATCCTTTCAGCAGTTCCAAGAAGGTTCCACATCCATTTGCAGTACTCAGGTGATCCTGAGGATACAGATAAACCTCTAAACGGTCTCAATTACTCTTTAAAAAGAATGCAAATCGCCAGCTGGCTGCAAGGAGTATAAATCCTTCCTTTCCCCACTATCCAGTCAGTGCTGAAGAAGCTTCTTGGATGAGAAGTGAAACATCTTCAAAGAAAAATAAGAAAGTCCAGTTGCCTCTTCAAAAAGCACCTTTGGGACAGCCACCTTATTGTCAAGTGACAATAAGCTTACAATACTGAGAAGTTTTACATTTCATTTACAGAAACAATTGTTGGCATTTATAATAATGAGCCTTATTTATTTAATCATTTAATTATATGCTGCCCATTTCACTATTGACATTGGATAGCATACAATACTGTAAAAGCAAGTAGAAAATATTAAACAATTAAATACCAAATATTCAAATAAACCAAGATTACATGTTAAAAACTAAAAGATAATATGTTGGGATGGGATTCTTTTAATTCCATCAGTAGCATGGAATACCGCATCAGGGCTTCAGGCCAAATGGCAGAGCCAGGTTTTGAGGGTTTTTTGGAAGGTCAAGAGGATGGGGCGGATCTCACCTTGAGGGGTGCAATGTTCCAGAGGGTGGGAGCCACAAAAGAGAAGGCTCTTCTCCTGGATACCACCAACTGAAATTCCTTGGACAATGGGATCTGCAGCATGCCCCTTCTTCTGGAACAAGTAGGCCAGGCAAACTCCATTGGGGTGAGGTAGCCTGGATCAGATAGCCTGGACTCATGCCATAAATGGCTTTAAAGGTCTTAATCAACACCTTGGACCAAGAAGCACACCAGCAACTAGTGCAGCTCATGCAACAAGATGTTACATGGGGACATTCCCATGGCTATCTTCCATTAGACATTAAAACGAACCATCCCACATGGCCTTCATAAACATTCCCCAAAAGGTGACGGGATCTCAAGGCGCTTCGGCACCAGTAAACTAGTTGTAAAATATCAGTTGTCACAGGCACTGCTAATAAATTGACTCCAAGCCCCCCCCCCCAATTGAATGGCAGTATCACTTTTAGGGATCTGACATACTGCCTTCCTTAGAAAAAGGAGAGATCCACCTGAGAAAAGATAGAAACAAAAATTCCATCTTAGTATTTTAACAAGGTTTGTCAGTAAGATAGGGGCCCTAACCTATCTTGTTTAACTATCCATACATTTTGGGATGAGGGTAGATGTTTCCAAACAACTAAGTATTGGGTTTTCCTCTTGTGGATCCTAGAGTCAAACATTTCCTTGATTTGTGCTGCATGTGCACACGCTGTTCAATATAAATTGTTCTGTCCTCATGTACAGAACAATTTACAGTAAACTGCACACCGGTTTGGTGGGGGTGTCAGTCCTGGGTTGCTGCCAGTTCTGTGACCCAGGCCTGAATTCCACTACCGGTTCGGCTGATATCAAATATCAAAAAACTCTCTCATGTCTTCATTCACCTTGGCTGATTGTTTACAAAATATTGCTTTAATCATATTGGGAAACCTCCCCCCAAAGTCCACATATTTTAATTGTGCTATTAATTGCCAATTGATATTGTCAAAAGCTTTCTGTGCATCTAGAAATATCAGCACCATATGTTTTCCCGGATGCATCTCATAATACTCTAATGTATCATTATCATTCTCACATTGTTTTTAATCTGTATTTTTGGCAAAAATCCATTCTGGTCTGGATGTATAAATTCATTCAAATATCTTTTCAATCTCTCTAGAAGCATATATTTCGCAGTCCACATTCAATAAAGATATTGCCCTATCATTTTTTATATGTGTTAAAACTCTGTCATCTTTCGGAATAAGAGTAACATTTGCTTCCATCCATGAGTTTGGAATTTTTGCTTCTAAGAGCACTTCATTGTGGACTTCCAACATCACTGGGTTTAATACTCCTTCAAGTTGTTTTTAATATTCCATCAGGCCCTGGTGTTTTATTTTTATTTTTATTTTAATTGCCTCTGTGACTTCCATCATAGTTACATGTTCATTCAACATGTTCTTGACAGTATCTGGTATCTTAGGAAACTCAGATTTTTCAAAATATTGTTGTATTTTATTTTCCAAGATTTCCTCCTTGTCATATGCTAGTTTCTCATAGCATTTTTCTCCTCGTTCTGGTTGTGTAGGGTCCCTTTCTCATTAATTAAACAATGTATCAGGTTTTTTCCCCCTTTCTTTTTTCAACTGGTATGCCAACCATCTTCCAGACTTGTTGGCATTTTCAAAAAAGTTTTGCTTTGTGTTTTTAATTTTAGGTCCCAGCTCTTCTTTCTCCAATAGATTCATTTTATGTTTTATTATATGTATTCGATTTTTCAGCTACTTTTTTTGTGGTTCTCACTGTAGATCTGATTCCAATTTTTTGTATTCTTCCTCTAACATAGTCTTATTTTGTTACTTCTTTTTGTTTTTCTTTCCTATACATCAGTGGTGGGTTGCAGGTGGTATGCCCCAGTACTGGCATACTGGAGCCTGGCCGGAGCACCGGGTACCGTTCCGGTATGGTGCTCCAGAGGGCCCACCTGCCCACCTGAGCTCCTTATCGTGTTTTAAAGCTTTCATCGCTTCTGCGTGCATGCATGGCACGTACAGTGCCTGCGCAATGCTCTGCTGCGCAGCTGGAGCGTCATGGAGGCTTGCAGAAGTGTCGCAGAGGCTTGCAGAAGCATCGTTTGCAGCTGCAATGCATGCACGCACTGCGCACATCCATGTGGGTGATGCTGGGGCAGTTTCAACCATACCAGTTGGAATGGAATCTGGAACCCACCACTGCTATATATGTTACAGCTAAGCTTCGCATATATGCTTTAACAGTGTGCCATACTATTTGTATATACTCAACATTGGCCACAGGATTGGAAAAGATCAGTTTACATTCCAATTCCAAAGAACGGCAATGCCAAAGAATGTTCAAACTACCACACCATTGCACTCATTTCACATGCTAGTAAAGTTATGCTCAAAATCCTACAAGCTAGACTCCAGCAGTAGATCGAGAACTACCAGAAGTATAGGCAGGATTTCGAAGAGGCAGAGGAACTAGAGATCAAATTGTCAACATACACTGGATCATGGAAAAAGCTAGGGAGTTCCAGAAAAAACATCTACTTCTGCTTCTTTGACTATGCTAAAGCATTTGATTGTGTGGATCACAACAAATTGTGGCAAGTTCTTAAAGAGATGGGAGTACCAGACCATCTTATTTATCTCTTGAGAAGCCTATAAGTGGGTCAAGAAGCAATAGTTAGAACTGGACACGGCACCACTGATTGGTTCAAAATTGGGAAAGGAGTCTGGTAAGGCTGTATACTGTCACCCTGCCTATTTAACATAAATTAAGCAGAGCACATCATGAGAAAGGCGGGGCTAGTTGAATCAAAAGTTGGAATTAAGATTGCCAGGAGAAATATCAACAACCTCAGATATGCAGATGATACCACTCTAACGGCAGAAAGTGAAGCTGAACTAAAGAGCCTCTTGATGTGGGTGAAGAAGGAGAGGGCAAAAGTTGGCTTGAAACTCAACATTAAGAAAACTAAGATCATGGCATCTGGCCATCTGAAACTCAAATACTTTGGCCATCTAATGAAAAGGAAGGACTCACTGGAGAAGAGCCTAATGCTGGCAAAGATTGAGGGCAAAAGAAGAAGGGGATGAAAGAGAATGAGGTGGCTGGATGGAGCCACCGAAGCAGTAGGTGTGAACTTAAATGGACTGCAGAGATGGTAGAGGACAGGAAGGCCTGGAGGAATGTTGTCCATGGGGTTGCGATGGGTCAGACACAACTTCGCAACTAACAACAACATACTCTTTGTAAGGTGGTCTGTTCCTTCCTATTTTCTTTAAAGAAAAAAATAATTATTTTTCCATTTTTTGTGTAAATTCTTTTTCTTGCAGTATTGTTTATTCAATGTCCACCTCCATCCCCCCCCCCCCATTCCATTCAACTTTCATAGGATTGTGTTCTGCCCATACATTGGATTCTATTTCTATCTCTTGTATGCACTCTTTCAGTCCTGTTATCATCCATGTCATATCAATTCTGGACCAAGATTTGTGTCTCTTTGAATAGAATGAATATTGATTTTTCTCAGGGTGGACTTCTTTCCATGCATCTTGCCTTCCTATTTCCTCCATCATAAAAGAAAAACTTTTGGGAATGTTTTTCTGGCCTTTTTACCTGATTTACGACTCAAAAAGTCAGTTTGTATATCTACAATTGCATTAAAGTCTCCTACCATACAAGCATTTTCATATTCTAATTCTACAATTTTCTTGTGAAGTTTTCCATAGAACCCATATTAGGCACATATATTCTTTTGATTTATTATTACCTCCAACATCAATATTTTCCCTTCTTCATCTGCAAAAATTTGTCTAGCCTTTATTGTTTCCTTGATGAGATACCCCTCTTTTCTTTTGCTATGCTAACGAGCTGTATATTTTCCCAATTTTGGGGTATTCTAGTAGTTTACTGTCTTTTTTTTAATGTGCACTTCTTGCAGACAAATTAGGTTTAATTTTATATTTTCTAATTTTTTAAAGATTCTTTTTCATTTTGTTGGTGAATTCAATCCATTTATATTAATTGTTAATAATTTTACTTCTTCTTCCATTATTTACTTGTATATAGGTTTAATTGTCCTAGTTGATCTTATTTCTCTTGATTCTTTTGGTTTTATTCCTTCTCTTTCTCTTCTCTTTCTTCTGTTTTAGTTGCTTCTTGTTATGTCTTTCCTTCTACTATCCCTTTCAGTGTCTCTACTTGCTCTCTTTTCTCTTCCTCTTGCACTATAAAGTGCTGATGATAGAATTGTTGTGCACTCTCAATCATATCTAGTCTGTATCTTTTCTCTCTCTAAGTCACCAATATTTCCTAAGGTATTAGTCATCTAAAGTTTACCTCATATTTTGCCAGTTATTTTGTCAAAAATTGGTACTCTCTTCTTGTGTTTCTTACTCTTCTTGATATTTGCTTCAGTACCACTATTTCTCGTCCTTTGTATTTCAGTGGTGCATCTCTTGCCCTTTGAAGTATCTCCATTCTCATTGCCTTCTTTGAGAATCTGACATGTAGCTCTCTGGGAAGCTTGTGTCTTTTTGCATAGCTTGTATATACTTTAAATACTTCTTCCATCCCATAGAGAGCCTCCTGTTGAACTGTTCCCAATGCCTCTGCCAGTACTTCTGCTATTTTATCCGCCAAGTTTTCCCCCTTTTCTTCCTCAACTTTCTAAAATCTTAAAAAAATATTCCACCTTATCAATTTCCAACATAATTACGGATTGTTCAAGGTCATGGTCTACCTTAGTAAGTCTATTCTCCATCTCTTCTACTTTCTTATCTGTTTGGTCTGCCTTTTCTTCCACTTTCTAGATCCGTTGTTCATTTTTGGTGATTATTTGCTAGATATTGTCTATTTTACCTTTCACTCTTTGTTCCATCTATTGCATTCTGTCTGCCATGTCCTCATAGTTTTTGGCCATCGCTCCTTGTAATGATTCCTGTAATGTTTGAATCATCATTTTTATCTCTAATTAGAAGGTGTTTAGTTTTTCATTCTGCAACATAGTGACAATGGAGCTTTGAGTCACAGGGCTAGATGCTGCAGAAGATGCCGCTGAAGCTGGTGCTGATGATGGTGCTTTCCTATTAGTTTTACTTGAGTTTATGTTGCTTGTCATTTTAATAGTTTGAAGTTGAAATTTAGGATGGTCAAATGTTTTAAATAATTATTGTTTTATAAACACAGGCCATCAATAGCCCAATAAACAGTACTAGTATAAATCAAACAGTATAATACACTACAATGTCTCATTATAAAATATATCTAGTATAGTCCACCAATTCCTTTATTTCCAGTTCTTAATTCCACACCCCAAGTCACTTTCTATTATAAATAAATATAAATAAGTCCAAATTCTTTCCACCAGATCTTCTTTCTTCTTCTTTTCTTTTAGTAGTTTATATTGTAACCCACAGAGTTATTAATTATAATCCATAGGGATACACCAAATTGTAATCTATAGAGGCCTACCAAAAACTCCAGAGTTATATCCTTTCTTATATCCAGATCGTGATTTCAAACCCCAAATCACTTCTATTTATAAGTACTATATTTCACAGAGTCAGATCAAAGTAACCATAATTCAGGTTCTTTTCCACCAAAGTTATCTTCTTTCTTCTTTTCTTTTTAATAGTTATATTATAATCCACAAATGTATTGTAATCCCAAAGATATTAATTATAATCCACTGTGATATACCAAATTGTAATCCATAAAGGCCTGCCAAGACCCCAGAGTTATAACCAATCAATTATCAAGCCCCAGGAAAAGGAATTGAAGTTTAGCTTGTAAAAATCTTCATTGTCTTATATGCAACCTCTATTTACTTCCCCATTCTATTTGCTCAATTACTCAGTTGTTAAAATGTATATCCACTCCAAGTGTTACAGTGTTTACAGTTCACACTATTTCCACTCTCTTTCTCTGTACTTCTTTTCAGTAAACAATTTCCAGGTGCAGACAGCTTATCTAAGTCTTGCAACAATCTTGTAACAATGTTCAAGGCCGTGGGAATTTTTCACTTTCTCCATGGCTTTCTCTGGCCAGTAGATGTTGCTGTTGCACTATTTCTCTTCTACTCCTCTCCTTAAGCTTCTTTGACAAGCACTATTTTTTTCTTTTAAAAATTCCAGAGGCCACATTTTAATAGCCCCAAATAAAGTTTAAATTCAATAATATCCAATTAGTATAGTCCTTAGGAGAACCAATCTGCTTTCCCTCTTTTAGCACCTTTATCCTCCAATTAATCAAACCATTCAAAGTTCTTATTCAGGTCTATTTCAGCTTTGTGCCTATTTGCCGCTATTTCAGAGGGTAGGAGATCAATAAATCCACCCCCTTTCTTTTTCAGTCACACTATCACTCAATCTATTTTAAAAGGGGCAATTTTGGTAGAAGTTAGAAAGTTCTCACCCCATTTTCACACTGTTCTCTCAATCTTTCTTCATTCTTCTCCGATCGGGCTGTCACAGTTTTGGACGGCACACAATGGTTGTCTTTTCCTTCCTGCTGGATTGAGAGCTTTCCTGAGTCAGACAAGGAGGTGGTGGTCTCCTTGTGATTTTCAGGGTCTACTCTCTTCTCCGCCACTCCTCTGATGTGGCTTAGGTCCATTGGGACCCTCTGGCAAGAGAAATTTGGCAAACCTCCATAGGACCCTATAGAGGGATTGTCATCACCGCAATGTCATCTCTACCTCCAGATATAGATTTTCGAAGAAGGGAATGCCTTTCCTTTCTATAATTATTGTTAGTGTTAAACAAAAAGTCTTGCAGTTGTCCTGAATTCCAGGGATGTAAAGATTCAGCAGGAGTCTTTATTTACTAGCTTCTATGAGTCCCATTCCACAGACCCACTACATATGTACTAGTGAATCACAAAGAAAGGGCTCAGATGCAAAGCTTTTGTTATCATGTATTGGCCTCTTTAATTTCCCTTTTACTGCTAGATCATAAATGGTACTTTTAAAAACATCAGATAGAAATCCAGCAGGGATATCTGCAATAATGTATGAATAAAAAGCATGATGATCATCACATTTAGGTTCTCTTTGTTCCACTTTTGTTAAGTAAAATTAATCATTTTTACTAAGCTGTCCAGAGTCACCAAGAGCGAGTGGGTGGCCATATAAAATTTCTAAATAAATCTTATTTTAAAAAATGATGTAAACATTCAAGATAGTATTTTGGCATATAAAAATTTACATGTATTATAAAACCCCTAACAGATCATCTTTCATTCTTCACAGCAGAATCAATAAACAGTATTTTAATAAACTGATTTATGTTTTTATAACTATTAAAATCTGTCAATAAACACACTATATATTCTTAACTTTTGATTTCAAAGCAAACAGGAAACTGAATAGACAAACAGAAAAGAAAATTGTCATACCCTTCAGATGATTCTCTGGGCTTGATGTTGATTTTGACAAGGTAATTTTCTTTCATGACAGCTTCCCATGCCAAAGTTTCATTATCTTCATTTCTTGAACCTTCAACATACAAATTCCATACCACCATGTAAAGTAGTGTTTTATTGACAAAAGGAACACAGATGGTAGAGATAATAATCTAAAAGAGTAATTCAGACTTGTACAGCACACACACACACACACAGCTAAATCAAGGTGTTCACATTCCTATGTATCCAAAGGACTACATCCTTAACACAGCTTTACCCACATATAAATACAAATACAGCCCCTTCCCATATAGTTCATTTATATTCTGTTTTCATTATGGACAGTACACTAGATATACTGAGATGGATAATCTTTTGATAATCATATTGACATTCCTGTTCTCTTTAATGATTCAGCCATTTTGTTTAGCCAAACTTCATTTTTTTTAAAAAAAATATTATTTTGCATTTTTCATTAGTGCACATATTTTCATTGATTAGCTTCCATCTGTTCCAGTTTTGGAAAAGCATTTTCTTTAAATAAATAGTAAGTGTTGCTATTTCTTCTTTTGAAATTGTGCAATTCAATGGGTGTGAGTTGTACCTTTGCTGAGCTTCCATTAGTCTTAATGTTTGGCTGACTAGTAGTTCAGTATTATAATCCATGAATAGTTTTAAATATAACACGTATGGTAAACATGAAAAAAGCGTGGCTATAACACTGTCATGAAAACTGTATGGTTATGTCTATAAGTTATACTCAATTTGAAGGCATCTTTATGTTTTACATTTAGGAAAATGAACATATGCATAAGGAACCCTGGGGCACAATGGATAGAATGCATTATTACAGGCAAACTACCACAGCCTGGAGTTTGATCCTGACAGGGCTCAAAGATGATTCAGGCTTCCAGCCTTCCAAGGTCAGTAAAATGAAGACCCAGATTGTTGAGGTCAATAGGCATATGAAGCTTTGCTTCATAAGTGCATTAGCTAAGAATTCCAGCACCCTGTTAAAATTGAACTTGTTAACACACTGACTGAGACACTCATAATGTTGATCAGGTGTCATACAAGCCTATTTCTATGATAGCAGGTATAACTATATCATCAAACACTTTTTTTGAATATGAACTAATTTGTTCATATTCTGAGTGTTACTTAGAAAGTGTTGTATTTGATATATTTGATACTGTTAACATACAGTGTTACAGGAAGGCAGATTCCAACTGGATGTTTGAAAAGCACTTCAACAATATAAACACTAAATAGGTGAGGTGGTGGGCTCTTCTTCACTGCATATGTTCATTTGGAGACTAGACAGTCATCTGTTGGGGGAAACTTTAAGACTTGGATTCTTGTCTTAATCAAATAGCCCTTTACAAATCTTATAATTGTATAATTTATTATTAAATTGTTAGGCTTAGCAAAGTAATTTGTAGAGGATCACCAGGCTTAGCCCAAGGGAGGAATCAAGAGTATCATTAGTCTTGAGTCCCTTCATGCCTACAAGAGATCTAAGTGCAGCAGCCCACTTTGAATTCCGTTGACCCTTATCTACCACCAAGTTGTCTTAACAGTTAGTAGTTCAGATTCTTGTACAGTGTTAGCATGCAATAAACCTGTATCCATTTGAACCGTCTTGGATCACAATTTCCTTGGCTTGACATGATTGCTGTTAATAAGGAGAGGTAGCTGGAGAATTCAGTAGTTATTTTTTAAAGGCAAAAAATGTGATATCACAATGCAAGCTCTGTATTATGTATGTGATATATTGTATATCACAACATATAAAAAGAGGAGACTTTGCATCATGATGTGTCAGGTGCAAAAGACCAGGTCCACAAATGAAGGCCCAATTTACCTGATTTATTGATTAAAAGTGCCTATGCTTAGAAATCCTCTCAACTAACGGTTAACACCTGCTTACAGTTAGATAAGGGTCAATGGAATTCATGGGAGATTGGGTTTACTCTGCTAGTTGTTATCTAGGGATTCTAGCTGATCTCTCTTTTAATTCCACCCCAGATGCTGCTACTCCTTCTTCTATATGATGCTTGTTTTGCCATTTGCCCTCTTGTCTGCTCCCCTGCAGATATCATGCAAGAAATTATAAATATTAAATGTTGTTAGTATTTTCTTCTTTTCTGAATGACAAAAAACGTTTATGGTGCAAAGTAGAAACTGAGCGGTCATCAAGACACAGGACAAAATTAATCAAATAAACTGTTGATTCCTGGAAACAGCAGTTTAAGAGAAACACTTTTTGGAGGGAGGGAATCCTCAGAACTACATTTAATTGATTTGAATGGGTAATGAAGTAATTCTCCCACAAAATTCATCACCAATAATGTTAATCACATAATGACAGAATATGTATCCCATTAATAAAGAACACTAAGTACAGCATTCTTGTTGCTATGTGCTTTTCTGCTACTCTATTATAATATCTGTATACACTGATGAGGTTATCATGGTTGTAGTTTCTAAATCTATGTAGATATTCATGAGAAAGAATGTATCAGGCTTATCAACAGGGAATGGGAGAAAAGTCAAAGTTGAAAAGATGGAGTACTTTGGGATCTGGCACCATTCTATACAAGACTATACATTCTATACCTTGTATATTCTATACCTTGTATAGAATGGCACCATGCCAGAATAAGACAAATTTGCTGATAAACAAATCAAACCAAGCAGGTTGTGACAATTATGTATTCTAATGACTGAATAGATTCATTGACATTCTCAGTTGTACTGATGTCAATGAGTACATTATGAATGAGTGGCTACAATAGGTATGCCATATAGAGTAGAAAAAAGTGGTTCTCCTGCTGGTTTTGACTGTTGTTTCCCTGAGTTGGGTAACTAGCGAGAGTTACTTCTCCTAGAGCTCCAGATTGTATAAAATGAGACCCTAACACTTGTGATATGTGAGCTGTCATGCCATACATTGATAGGAAACCATGCCATGCCATGCCATATCATTTAGCAAAAATAGCTGAATATAGAATTGTTACCTGAAATCATCCAAAATTGAAGAAAGGAAACTGATACAATACTATCTGTATATTAATGTTCTACAGATCAATATATATTCAAACCAAAATACTGCTTTAGTAATGTGATAATGGTGGCAACTAAAAATGAGATAAATTTTGAAAATAATGTAGAGATCCAACATCCAGTGTATATATCTCCAATCTTTGTCTTTCTTATGAATAAATAAATCCTTGTGAGTGCGGTTCCAAAGGGCATTCATTCAATTATACTACTGCAGAGGAGCTAGAATTCTTACAGTGCCTTAGACCAAAGAAAATATCTGAACCAAGGGTGAGCTCTGATTTCCACATAGTAGCTTTATGAAGGAGCCAATATGTTATGTACAAATCCAGTTTAAGAAGTGCTGGGTGATTTCAAACTATTTCATTAAGATTCTGGCGAAGGTCACACTTAGTTTTTTCACAAGACATGGCAGATGTATGCATGTATGTGCTATAGATGCACATATATAATTTTTTAAAAAGTATATTGTTTTCAAATATATTATAACAAAAGTATACCAATATAACAACAATCATCTGATAAATCTTTTTCTTTTTCTTTAATAAAATAAATCTTATTTTGCTTCCCCTTCTACCATTTAGTATCTGATGAAAATAACTTACAGCAAGTGGATGAATCTCTATATTCATTTTTACAACAGCATTTTAAAAGTTTCCTCATCACCATGTAGATATAGGCAAAGATGACAAATGGAAATGGTATAGCTAATCGGCTACAGTACTCTTGAACCAAGAAGTAGCGCTGGAACTTCCATACTTGATCATTATTCTCCTGAACTGATCCAACAGTATATCTAAATGAAATATTAACACATAAAATTAGTTCCGTAATCTTTTCTTTAAAAAAAATACTGCTTTAATGTTCTAATTTTTATCTAAGTCTTTGACAAAGAAAAATAAGACTATTTGTTTCTTTCCATCTAGTCACTTGCCATATTTTGTTGATATTATTTAATTTTTGTTTGATATGAGTCACTCAGAGTTGTTGGGAGTTGGGCAACATTCAAGTTTAATAAATGATTATTATTGTTTTATTAATACAAAACAGAAACAAGAAAATGCTTTATGTATTTCATATACAATTCATATAAAAACTCCATTTCCATATATTTTATGTATATTGCATATTGAAGTTCACATTTAATTTGCATAGAAGTACTCCACTTACTAACAATAAATTTCCTACTATATCAAATGCAAGCCTTAATAATATTTCATCAGGACTGTAAAATTTTGTTGCATTTGTTTCAGTTATATTATTCTTTCCAGGGAAACATCAGAAGCTAAAAGTAAGTTTTCCTGTTTATATTAATTTTTTAGGATTTTTAAAAATGTAATTATATTATGTTTCTTCTTGTTTAATTTGATACCTCTGTGCAAAGTACAAGAGAGAGGCAAGTAAATACTGTATTTTAAAATGGACTGATTTATTTTGAAATTTGATACTTTTGATACTACTTTATTAATTAAAATTACTGTATTGCTATTGATCCATTTATGTCCTAATATTACTAAGCAGCAAAAAGATGAATGTAATAATATGATTTGAAATTATGCTTCCCATATCAGCCAAAACTTGCAGCTGATTAGAATGAACTAGTTATAATAAACTAGAATTAGCTTATTCACTTACAAATAAACAAATTAATAAATAAAAGAGCAGTGGAACTCAGCTTGAGAAAGACTTTAAAGCCAGCAACGCTGACTTTTGGAAGTGGGGAGCACTCCAACCTGATACATACCCAAACATGGCTATTAATAAATTAACTAAGAGGATATTGGTGGACAGCATGTAGATGCACACTAATGGAATAGTAATCCACTCAGGGAAACGAGGGAGGTTGTTGGAATCCACTTCTACACACAGAGGCTTGGATTCATTTCCAAGGAAGGTACAGCTATCAAAATCATATGTAGTCGCTATTATAAAAGGAAGAAATAAAAAACAATATTAAATTATCAGAAGAACTGATATATTTGGATACAAAGTTATTGATTTATTGGTAATACATGATTTTAGTATCAGAAAAACAGCAATAATAATAATAATGATAAACATTAAATTTGTATTGCACCAAATCATTCAGATTCCTGAGGGTTACAACAAAATACAATGCTATTAAAACATATAGGAAAAACTGCAAATATAATAAAATGCTCATGATAAGAAAAGTGAAAAAATAATAAACAATTAAGAATTTAATTCAGAAACCAGGAGTCAGTGAATTCTAGCCCTGCCTTGGGCATGAAAGTTGGCTGGATGACTTTGAGCAGTCACTCTCTTTCAATTCACTTCACTTCACTTCACAGAGTTGCAGTTATGAGGAAAATAGGAGGGAGAAATATTGGGCATTTTCACTGCCTTGAGTTACTTATAAAGTAATAAAGGCAGGATGAAAATATAACAAATAAATCTCCATATTCAACCAAAGAGTGGTTAAATGAGTTAGCATGCTATCATAATATACGCCCAGCCCCTTTTGTACATGTGTCATTATATCATCACACCACTTTAAAAAGAAATGGAATTTGCAGCTAAGTGGTATAACAGTTTATATTGGGATCCTTATTTCTGCAAGAAACTGTCAGATCAGCCATCTTTATTTGGCATCTCACTGGCATCCTGCCATCAAAGGCTAGCTGGAGGGGGCCATGGGGTGAACAAATGGAGAATAAACATGTATAGGGATCAATGTTCCCTCTAATTTTTTTTCAGTGTGAGCGGAAAAGTACAGTGTTTGAGCGGCATAGTTTCATGCCTGAGCACCTAAGAGAGCCACAGTTTGAACTGCTGTCTCGTCTGCTGGACATTTGCGCAACATTCCAAGCATTTGAGAGACCGCCTTCTGCCAATAACCTCCCTGCGTCCCATCAGATCGCATAGAGCGG